TGGAAAACGATTTGGTAAACGCGTTTTTCTTTTTTCCTTTCTCCAGTTTTCCTGCAATTTCTTTGGTAAACACGTTTCCTGTTTTTTGTTTTCCAGTTTTCCAGAAACTGGAAAATATCTCTGTTAGTAAACAGGCCCGTAGTTTTTCAACAAAACTTAAAATGTGTATAGAATTGGATACACAATATGTGAAAACAATATTTATATATTAAAATTATAAATAATAATGATAGATGTTTTGAATATTTCACAAATACTCTGTAGGTAATTAGTATAATATAACATCAATAAAAAAAAATTTAATTAGTATAATATAACAACATCAATAGAAATACATGTTAATTAGTACTACCTCCGTTCTCTTTTAAATGCAACGTTGGACTTTTTACACTATTCGCATGTTCTACTTTGACTCTATTTTATTTATTAATGTATTATAAATTAAATTTGAAAAAAATATTGTTAAATTCCTCTCACTTCAAATTTTCATAATCTAAATTTTTTAATTTTTTTACTAATACGGAATGAGAGATATTACTGGTCAAGCTTGTACGTTGGCAAATGTGAAAAGTGGACCGTTGTAATTAAAAAAGAACGGAGGAAGTATAATATAAGAACATCAATAAAATTTAGTTATATTAATAATAATTAGTGTGAAGCGTTATAGTACATATACATTTCGAGTGATGTTATTTCACAATAAGCATGTAGCCAAGCTGGGTTCCATCCTTATTGCTTTGCCACGCATCCCGGGTTTGAATCCCCTGGAAGAATATTTTTTTTGGACGACCAAAAAGGCTTGAATGCTCTATTAAAAAAGGCAATAAATAAATGAGAAAAAAAGTTACCTGCTATATTAGAGGTAAAATTCAGGTCATTTGGGCTCAATTGATTTTTTTTTGAAGAGTAAATGGGTTTATATGACTCTTTTTATAGTACATGGGTCTAAGTGATGGTTCCGCAATAGTAGGAAGGTCTATTTGGTCCTTTTTCCAAATAAAATTCAACATTTCAATTCCTCCATTGTGATATTGGGGTTCCATAAAATTCAACATTTCAATTTATTAGTCAATTGTACGTCACTTTTTTATTCAGGATGATGTTACTTTTTTGTTTAAATTTGCTAAAATGGTTGGTGATGACTACTCCTCCGTTCTCCATTAGTTGTCCTTATAGGGTTTGACACAAGTTTTAAGAGAAAAATAATAGGCGTAGTATAAAAGGTGTAGTGAGTTGTGTTTTAATGAAAAAGTAGGAAAGAGAATGATGGTAAATGAGTATATTGATTGAAAAAACTATGAAAAAATGGAAAAAGAGACAAATATTAGAAAACAACCCAAAATGGAAAGAGGGACAAGTATTAGAGAGCGGAGGAGTATTTTTTTTTGTTTTTTAATCATTTCTTAAAAAAAGCCCTTTTAATACGGGTAATTAATAATGTAGGTTGTTAATATTTACTAGTACAATTTAATAATAATTGTGATACTAGGTATTGATAACCATTTACCCTTATAATAACAAGTTTGTTTTAATAGTAATGTTACTTCTATACTACGTATGAAATATTGGTGTAATATGAAAGATCATGGAAAATTATAAACTTTGATATATGTTTTATAAAATTGAAATACTAATGAAAATTACTACCTTCGTCTCATATAAAGGTTCTCTTCCATTATTCTTCAATCAATGTTTATTATTCTTAATCTTTTTACTTTACACCGAATTATATCTAACTTCTATCATATTTGAGTTTTGTTTGCCACTTTATAAAGCACTTAATGTAATTTCAGAATATGTATTTTATTTACTAAAAATATTTTAATTACTCAGTAATTATATGCCCAGTCAAACATCCATGTAAATCGCATGGAAATCTTTAAGTGATATGGAAGAAGTATAACGCTTTTAAAAAAGAGACTTTTTTGGTTTGGGCCTCTCCGCCGACATCCTCTCCACTAAAGCCTGCGTTTTTTTTTTTCTTTCTCTTTGTTCCAGCCGTGCAACAAAGGGTGAATGGTGGTAGCAAATCCTCCACCCAAAGGTGTCATACACCCACTTTGGCACTCCTATACATTTTTTTGTGGGTTGCACATTTTTGGTGGAAATCTCATAAATGACTTTTTTTTTTTACCGATTGTTGCATTAGTGTAATTGTGTAAAGGCACATGAGGGTAGGCACGGTTTAAAAAATATAGTTTTAGATTTTTTTGAAAGGATAGTATTAGTAATTAGGAATTTCTATCATTCATGAAGCAACATCCGCCAGTCCTGCAATTTTTGACACGAGTTTCGCTATGAATCATCAAGAATCATTCTCTATGTGCTTTAGTACAAGGGTAAGACTGCGTACATACGACCTCCCTTACCCCACCAAAGGTGAAAGTTTTTACGACACCGGAGTAATGATGAGTATTAGTAATTAGGAGTTAAATTCACTCTCACGCTTATGATCCAATTAATCTAATCAATTAGCTTTAGCTCCTAGATGAGTCCTTAAACTCATTACTCATATGTCAAAGGAGCTCTTGGGAAGAAATGGTGAAAAGAAGATCAAAATACTCGTATTGTTTAAAGCCCATGCCAAAAATGGCATCATTAATATCAAGTTCCGCATTAATAAAATGACATGTTGAACATCATACTCCCTCCGGTTCTAATACAAGTTCCGGTTTTGACTTCACACATATTAAGAAAATAAATTTGACTTTACTGTGGAGTGCACTGTTTAGCAATGTTTGACACTGTTTGATGTAGATAATTTGCCAAATAAGAAAATGATTGAAAGTAAAACTTAATTTTGGTACTGCCCGAAAAGGAAAGGTGGAACTTGTTTTCGGGACGGAGGGAGTAGTTGATAGGAAGTTTGGTTAAAAAAACTTAAAACACGATCGTTTTGAACTGATTTTTTATATTAAATCAAAGAAATAAGTATGACATTGAAATGAAGCATTGAAGCGATTGTATAATAATGGACTATTTTAAGACAAATTTCCCTCCATTCATATAGAAATAAAAACTCTCGTTTTAATTTACGGTATTTAAATGACGATATACTTCCACCATCTCACTTCCACAGTGAAGTTATTCTACATGTATTTTCGAAGTGATGTTGTAACCCAAGATATATTATCAAAACATATTCAAATTCCAAGTGTGCCTGACAAAAGAGATGTATCAACAAATAGGGAGTATGGAATAATGATTCTTATTCATTCTGTAAATTAACTAATTCTATAAGTCACAAATTTGACATGCAGAACGTTGCAAGTCAGGCCAAACGAACATATGCGGACTAAAGCTAAGAAAAGCTAATTGCCTGATGTAAGGAGTTGGGTGTGCAGCCATATCGCTTCCCATAACTACTAAAGATAGAAGAAAAAACATACAACATTGTATTCTAAGGGGACAGTGAACACCCAAACGGCCAAACCTATCTCTCGGATGTAACAATTGCCATTCATTTTCTCAAGTCTAAGGAATCATTAGGAACCTGCTTGGCGGGCTTTAAATTTGGCTCACTGACCATTTATCACCAACACTTCCACGTACTGGACTCGCTCAATGAGCTGGTAATGAGAAAAGTTGGGGCGTGTTAAATTCTTTGGCTGAAATGTCTGGAATTGATATCTCTACCTCATTTTAGAAAACACTTTCTTCAATTTAGTCACATATATCTTTAAACATTTTTTTTTAAATTCAGAATATTTTATCATTTAGCCCATATTCAGCAACTTCATCACAAATCACAATCAGTGACTTCAACCACTTTAGGCCATACCGAATGCGCCCAGATATTTAGTAAGAGAAAAATTAGAAGTTGTAAATCACATTCCTTATATCTATCTCACATATCACTACCAGATAGAAATCAGAATGATAGATACTGAATTAAATGTATAGAGAACTCTATGACTCTCAGCTATACAAGCTCAAACCATTTCAAAGCCCACAGGGGGGGGGGGGGGGGGGTAGAACAAGCTAAGCAGGAAAAAATATCACACAGCTCATTGTTGCACAATAATGTGTATAATGCATTACAACTACATACCCAATATAGTTGGATTATTTTAGATCTGAACACATCATTAAGGTGTACTGAGATGGAATCTGAATATTCTTTAATTTGTTAAAAAAAATCAAATACTGTGTAACTTCAGACTTTCAGTGACATCAACGAGTCCTATAGTGTTGCTTAATGCATACTATTCTAATCTAAGACAACTACAGTCTATATTGCTCTAATACAAATTTCACTGTGATAATGTGATAAGGCTTATGAACTTGAGGAGAGGTCTTGAGGGAGTGAGTTCCTCCTTGAGAGAGGAGAGTGAAGTAGTCCAATATACAAAGAGTGAAGTGAGCTACCCGTTTACTTGTAAAATATATCTTGTACATTTCCATTGTATAATACAAAATGATATTGTTAGATTGAGTCTTTGTGTTACAAGTGGGTGGATGAATGTACAAGAGTCGTTTGAGCTCGTGATCCTGGAACAATTCGGGGATCGCGTTTTCCCCAACAGCTTACTATTGTCTAACCTAAGTTGAAATATTAGATTTTTTTTATAGTTCTATGTCAGTTTTCTTCCGAATATAAGCACTATGTTTAGCTGTCAGTAAGCTTAAAAAGCCCTTCCCCTGGAAATGAAAATTCCCTACCATTAGGATAGAATAGGACCCCTACTCTCAAAAAAACAAAAAAAAGAATAGGACCCCATGCTCACGTCTGGATCACATCCATCAAGAGCGGGTGCTGTGATTTTGGGAAATGCTCTATAAGCTCTATATCGTACTATTAATCGTTTCTATTATCATTCTCTAGTCAAGCACATCTTCACTTAGTTTCTAAGCTCATAGCTAATGATCCATGCATATGAGTTCTTTTAAAGTCTTCTTTGGTAGCATTAATCAGTTTATTCTGATTATAAGCACCAATGCACCATAATATTACAATACTTTATTAGGCAGGAATCTATTAATCAAAAGCTTTTCCTTTCTGAAATTCAGCAAATTCCACCATCGAGCCTTGCAAATGATTTATAAGGAATACTAAACAAGAGCAAGCCATTAGAAGACCCATGCTTTAAATTTAAAATAAAAAATGCAGTGCTTGACTTTACCCCTAAATAACAAGCAACAACAAAATAGTCAAATAACTCATCACAAATATACAGAGTACTCCGTATATGTTTTGTTTGGAAAAAGTTGCCTTCAAATTCGTTGAGAAATGAACATTTAACAGCAACAATGCTTACATCTTAAAAAGCGTTAGGAAAGTGACAGGTCTGGAGTGATCTGAAAGTAAACTACAAAGGGATCATCCGCCTGGTTTGGGGGGCTTGCGATACTTCTCCTCAACGTCCTTGGCCTTGAAGAGAACGGACTCTATGAGCTTCTGAATGTTAGGGACGCTATAGTTTTGAGCTATGTAGATTCCGCACACTGTACCGGTTATGAATGAGAAGCCGCTCTTAATTAGCCCCATCTCTGTCCGGCTTTCCGACCTATGAGGTTTTGCTGTGCAGTAGATGAGAGATTTCGCTACAATTAGGGGTTCCGGCGGAGGTCTACAGAAGACGGCGTGGACAACTACCGCGTGATTCGATAACTGCGACGGCGCTGTCGTCTGATTTTTATTTCACAAAAGATTTCCATTACGAGTAAGCACAGTATGGGACGATATGATACAATGGAACTCGGTATATGAGAAATGACATTTGTACAAACCATTTTACCGGTCAGATTGATTATCTACACATTTTTTTCATTTTGTAAACACAACCATTTTTCGTGCCCACAATTATGTGTATTATTTGTGTTATAGGCAAAAAAATTATCTTTACCAAAAACAATTCCCTTCACAAAATAAAACAAAGTTGTCTAATAATTCGACCTGCTTGTAAATTGCCACACTCGGCACCCTATTCTAAGGCACATTTTCCAATCCGCTCCTAACTTTTTAAAAGCATTTTTGTGTTTTGTGTGCTTTCATAATAGAATATTAAAGTATGGAGAAATTACTCTAAATATTAATGTCATGCTTTTATTCTCTAAATATGAGTAATTAATGTCATGGTTTGATAGTAACAGATTTGAAACACGATAATATCTTCCAAATGTGACGGTAATTACTTGTATTTAGAGTATAAAACTATGATAGTTCTATTTTGAAATTCTAAAACATTTTTACTTCTATTTCGGGAATTTTTTGTTAAATGTGTGTTTTCAAACTCAAAATTCCACTCAAAACTCTAAAAGAGCACTTCCAGAGCACTCATGACCCCTACTCGCTCGAGGTGCACCACCCGGTGCTGGATGGTTTGTCAGAAGTTTATAGTGCGCGACCTACTATTGTGTGCCCACGGAGACCCATGATGTTCTGGAATGATTGTCTAACCATTTTGACGAAAATGTAGGTCCCGAGTTGTAGAAAGTGCTGCCATGATTGTCAACAAATGTTTGTTCAACAAATGTTTGTTCAAATTCTCACAGGCGGACTCAGTGTTGAGGTTAAGTCCTTGCGATCCAAAGGCTCAACACGGTCCCTTTGACTTTCGTTGGATTCTTTTAATGAGTTAGTTAGTGAGTGTATAAGGCAAGAATGAGACCGAAGTAATTAAGTACTACCTTCGTAACCTTGGGATGTTCCCATCTGAAAAGTAGGTCGATTAAGAATAGTGAAAAGAGATATGTATTATTGGGGGTATGATGTGAAAATAGTGAAATAATGTGATTGAATGAAAGATAAATCTCCAAAAAAAGTAGGTGTAATAGTGTATTATTTTTAAAATTATTGAGGGTATAATGAGAAGATTTGGAAGTGGGGAGATATTAATGTCACGTTCAAAAAAGAAAAGTAGGAAGATATTTACGTTACAGAGGTAGTACTTAACAAAGAAATAAGAGGCAAAGTGAAATCAATTTTATCAAACACTTAGAATGATTACAACATTTATGTCGAGCCCGGACTCCTACTCCCTAGATCAAGCTGAAGAATACAGAAAAACCAGATAGAAATCTATTGCTAAGTATACATGTTTGTTAACACCTTACAATGAAATAAATGCTCCTATTTATACCACAAGGTCGCAGGTAGATGAGGTGATATGCTCAACCCTGAGTGGATAGCCCCCAACCATAAAATATTTCATATTTGGTGCACTAAATGTGTTTCCTATCAATTCTAGACTTCTCGACAATTACTCGGTGTTTCTCCTTAGACAGTTGACAGACTCAACGGAGAAGCCCAAGCGAGGGGATTGACCGGGCAGCGCATCCCGTGCGTGCTTCTAAAAATAGTTCGAGTTGCGATTGGACCCATATGCGGATTGGGCCAATTGAGGTATTTAAGTTTGAATCTAATGTCTAACAATTATCCATAAATGTGTCATTTTGCAACAAATTTTTTATCCAGCACGAGTGTGTAACAATTGTCTCGTACCGAGTATCTTTTAGTGAAATAAAATTGTCTCGTATATATAATGGAAATAAATTAAACTGCAATAAATTCTATTTCACTGTTCTTCCCGCAAAAACTGACCTTCCCTTCTCTCTTCTTGCTTCTATCTTTCCTTTTCCCCCAACTCTGATGAAGGTCAGAAAGGTCTGTATGGATCGCAGAATGTGACTGCCGACAATTCTCGCATCTTCGTCAGAAATCACCGGAGGTCCTCACTTCTATTTAAATTTACCTACTAAACTAATTGTTTTTGTATTCAATATATGCTCCGTTGTTATTCGTATGCATCATAGTTCCATTCTTTTTCGAATTCAACTGTTTTGCAGACATATATGATGGTCAAAATTATTCGTCCGTTCGTTCTTTCAACTTATTGCTCTAGTTTTCTCGGCGCCTAGGGTATTATTTGGCGATTCTCTGACTTTTTTTTGGGGGGGGGGGGGGGGGGGGTTGGGTCTAAGTTCTGATTGAAATTAAATCTTTAAAAAAGTCTGGAACCCTCTTCGTTCCATCTCTCGACTATGAGTACCTGTATGACTATTAACGAATCACTTATCGGGCGACCAATTTTGGTTTCCCCTTTTGGTATGATGATGAAATGGTTTGCTTTTATTCGTGGTCATTTTTGTGATAGCGGAAGCCTTGAAATTGAGTCAAGAGCATAGCTTAGCTTCTGTGGAGGTATTAGTTACTGTTTTTCTTGAGGCACGAAAAAAGATTACGTGTGCTGGCTTAGAAGCAGCTACCAGCTACTACTTGACCACTATTAATAGCTATGTGCACAACAAATAATAATTATAGAAAAATGAAACTCGGTAAAAGATTTTGCATCCACCGTTATCTTAAGGCCATGAATAAGATATCCCAAGATAGGTCATTTTGAATAAGATGTTGTCATGAATGATCATTTTGTAATTTTTTTTTCTGGATAAGCAAGTCTAGAAACCTGTTTGGTAAGTTTATTTTGTCTAAAATGGCTGAATTTGCTAATTTGTATGCAATTAAAAGTATTTGGTGAAATTGTTTTCAGACAAATGACTAAGCAAGATAATGTGATTAGTACTACAAAATATGTCCTTAAGCCGTATGGAAATTTTATCTGTACATGCAAGGTTGAAGATATCATAGGCTCAATAAATTAAAATGTTTCGCTTTGAAAGATAATTCAGTTTCATTTTTGAAGCAGGTTATCCGGATTCAAAGAATTTTATGAGTTTCCGTCAGTTTGGGATCAAAGAATAAAATTGGCTTGTTAGTATTTTGATTGTCGAAGATTCATATCAGTCTCCGATGGGAGTGAGCTACATGTCAGTTTCAACCGCCTGTACTGCTCTAAGCTTTATTGGGCTTCAGTGTTGGATAGGATGGTCACTTGATAAATTAAGTTCTGATGGGCCCATTCTTTCAAGTATTCTCAACTCACGTGATGCAAGTCCGGCACTTGAGGCAGTTCTGGATTCGTACACCACTATTGCGCTGGTGGCGAATTTTGTCATTAACACATTTGTTTTACTGATTTTGTGTCTCAAGGTCCTTCCCTTGCAGCTTGTTTAAGTTTGTTGTGCATATTTTATTACCCTTTCTGGATTATTTTTTGAGTGTAGTTGTATGCATTTGTAGACTATATTCTTTGGAGAATTGCACTCGTCTGAAAGTAGGAAATTGGCTGAACGCCTCATCAACTATATCATCTACAAGGTAAAGCAGATTTCATCATCTAAACCATTCAATAGGAGGATGCCTAATTTATTTTTGTATTTATTTATTTAAACTATGTGTGGAATCCCTAAAATGGTAGAGAAATGAAAAAAGGATAAGGAAATTAGTTTTTATGTTATGTTTTACCTTGGGAATACAAAGGAAAATGAAATTTGATTATTTTTCTTTTAGTTTTTTTAGGTTCCATATATTAAGATATCTTTGGGTCTTGTAAGTTTTTATAGTAGCAATGTATGAATGGAATGAGTTTGAACAAATATTTGGAACTGGATTTTGGAGCTTGGACCAATCTATTACCCTTCACTCCTTCCATATTTCTTCACTGTTTTCCTCCTTTTCTTTTCCCTAGTATTTTTGGGGTTTCAAACGGTTCCTAAATGTTTGTTCATGCTGTCAGTAGGGACCTTTCATCCCCCTGGTCATTCCATCAACAGTTTTTCAAGCAGGACTATGGTCAACATGGCTGGTTGTCCTTTGTTCTTTAAAGGTATTGATGTTCAAATTATAATTTTTTTGTTTTTAATTTTCCAATTTCTGTTGGCAAATGGATCATTGTGCTGCTATGGTTTTTACTATACAGATGTTTCAAGCATTAGCCAGGGATCGCCTTGAACGCTTGAATGCTTCTCCCAGTGCTACACCTTGGACCTATTTTCGTGTTTATTCTATGCTTCTCCTGGTTTTTTCCTTGGACATGCTCTGGTGCTTCCTGATTTCTCTATATGCTGTATTCATTGTCAAGAAAATGAATTATATACGTATGGTAGAATTCAAGATTGAGTTGGTAACTTAACTGGGTTACAACACACATGACCCAGATAACACCAGAAAACGGTATCAACTCAATTAGTTAGTCTTACCTTAGACATTATGAACACATACGTCTCACTTTAGTATATGGATGCTGGACTCTCTTTAAAACTTAATGAAGTACTTTAGTGCGATAAATGCATGATTTGAAACAGCAGTTGCTATTTGCTAAATTACATATCTATATGTGATGTTCTTTGTTAAATTAAGCTTCTCTAAATCGCAGATGGATAAAGTTGTAGCGTTTTTTGTTAATTATTAAAATGGTTGTCATGAAGTCTTATTTATACTTTTTGTAGGATAAAGCTGTGCCTGACCATATACAGCACAATAAGTTCACCAATATATTTATTGCTGTTCTTTGAACCTCTTAGCATTGCCTTTGAGACGCTTCAGGTAGTCAAGTGAGAGTCTTAGATAGAAAAGGGGAAATTTCAACTTTGCACCCCATTTTTAAAAGCATTAATGCGTGCAATACTGCACCCATCCAATTTAAAAAGTTAAATGTTTGCTGTTTGCACCTTATCCCTTCACATTTTTGGAATGATGGAATGCATGTAACAACTTTTCTGAAAATGGGATGTGAAGTCATATTCCCCCACAAAACTGTTTGGTTCTATTTTTGAAATAATTTTAAATAGGCTCACACTGAATTTTTGTATGCCAATGTTCCTCCTAGGCTATTCTGGTTCATAGTTTTCAGTTGCTTGATATATGGCTTCACCACTCTTCAGGAAGTATTGCAAATAGTCAAACAACTAAGCTATTTGATGTTTCTGCTGCAGGTATGCATTATTTTGTTTTCTTAATTTTGTCTGTCACTATGTGCTTCAGTTCAATTAATAATTAACTTATAGTGGCTTGTTCTCTCTAGTTTCGTTTGGAAGAAAATCTCCCTTTACACCCCCATAATCAGTATGATGCTTTATCTTCTTATTATTATTGGAAAAACTGTCAAATAGGTCCTCGAACTTTCATAAAAAGGTCAAATAAGTCCTTATATAGGAGGTTTTGTCCGGCCGTCGTGATTTGGGGCGGTTCCCGGTGGAATGTTTTTATGAAAATGTTTGAGCATCTTATTCATCAAGTCTAGTTTACTCATACCAAATTTCAGCTAAAACTTCAATCGGGAACGCATTCAAATTAATTCTTGAAGATAATTGCGCATTTGACTGCACAGTTATCTTCAAGAATTAATTTGAATGCGTTCCCGATTGAAGTTTTAGCTGAAATTTGGTATGAGTAAACTAGACTTGATGAATAAGATGCTCAAAAATTTTCATCAAAAAATTCCACCGGGAACCGCCCCAAATCGCGACGGCCGGATAGAGCCTCCTATATAAGGACTTATTTGACCTTTTTATGAAAGTTCGAGGCCCTATTTGACAGTTTTCCCATTATTATTTGATCTTCCATATGAGACTCGGAAAATGCAAGGGAATAAAAATGGGTCGGAAACTGTAGATGCAATTTGTAAGGAAACCAAATGGGAGGGAAATAAAAAGCATTGCCTCAAAATGATTTTAGTATTTGTAAAAATTTATTTTATTTAAATATTTCAATTATATAAGGACTACAGTACTACACAATTAAATAGTTCTAGAAAAATTTAAATTTTGAATTCTATTTCATTCTCTTCGTTTTGCCAAGACTAAACCAAACATTAAGAAACCAATTATATTAGTTTTTTTCCCCTCTTCCTTGACAATTTTCCGAGTTCCAATTTCCAAATATGGCATGAGTAATTTAGGATAAAGGAAATTATCTTTATTAAAGGGTTACAGAGCTCCCTAGTTTATCTGTAAATTCATATTTTGTCAGACATTTTTAAATATTTTCTAGTGCTGCAAATGCAGGTTCATTCTTGGAATGGAAATGCATTCTTATTCGAAACTTAGGTTTTTTCCTGGACATGATGACATTGTTGATGGCCCTTGCGCACTATGTGCATATTTGGTGGCTTCATGGCATGTCATTTCATCTTATGGATGCAATCCTTTTCCTTAACATCCGTGTAAGTCTTTCATAGATCAATTTTTCTTGTTCTTTTTCATGCTTTTCATACTTTGCTCATTGGTTCAAAAGGGGAAACTTGCCTCTTTGGCCTTCTAATGGTTTGTCATTATGTAATGCACACATGTATGGAGTATGTTTTTATATTTTGTAGATTCACCCTCTTAGTTGTCTTTAATTATTAAAATTAGCTGCTGTCAATAAATCTAGTGTTTGTTTTGTTGATGCAGAGTATTAAGGTTTATTGGGGGTGGGGGCATATTTGACATTCTCTATTGCTTTGAATCCCCCCTTATATACCATGATACTAGACAGTGATTAATTTTAATGGCACTGATTAGTTCTATTTCAATCATCACAATTTAGGGACTATTTTTAGAAAATTAGTCTAAATTAAATAATGCCTAACATCTGAAGGACTAAAGTGTTGGTTTACCCTCAAAAAGCATCATTTTTTCCTGCTAATTGTGAGTTCTTGTTGATTCCAGGCCTTATTGAGTGCAATTGTGAAACGAATAAAAGGATTTGTTAAATTGAGAGTAGCATTGGGTACTCTTCATGGTGCACTTCCTGACGCAACATGTGAAGAGCTGCAAGCATATGACGATGAATGTGCTATTTGCCGGGTAGTGACACTTTGATGTTCATTGGGGTGGGGGGAGTCACTTCATATAGGTGTTTATACTTTAGATTCTGTTAAGTAAGACTTAAAATGAGTGAAGTGGTTGCTGGAGTGCTTAAAATTGTGGCTGAACCTTTTGTGAATAATCATAAATCATTTAAAATGTATATTTAAAAAAATCAAGCTAAAGATAGCTGAAAAAATAGATAAAAGCATCATTTTAGCAAAAGAGCAACTCCTGCACTACTTTATTTTTTTTATTATAGCCGAGATCAGCTAGCACAATATTTGATGAAAAAAATTGCTGATAAGGAGGATTAGACAAAAGTAGAGCCAACCAAATGGTCTATCAGATACAATTCTTTTGAATAACTTAACATGTGGGTGGATGGATGCTGGCAGGAACCAATGGCCAAGGCTAAGAAGCTCTCTTGCAATCATCTCTTCCATCTTTCCTGCTTGCGATCTTGGTATGTCCCTTGTTTATCCCGGGGGTTTCATTTGTTATGTTTGTTCACCCATCACCGCCATCAAGCGTAATATGTTCTCAATTCATTAATACTGGCATTGGTCATCTTTATCAGGCTGGATCAAGGTCTAAATGAAAATTATTCGTGCCCTACTTGCCGGAAGCCACTTTTTGTTGGCAGAGCCGAAAATGAAGTGAATAGCCAAGCTGCCCAAGTTTCTGGAGATGAACAGCTTGCACGTCAAATGAGTCTGGTACTTGACCGGTCAAATCTTCCTGGTCATCCCCATCCTACTGAAGTTTTCCACAATCACCAACAGAACCCTTTGGAAAACCGTGAATGGAGGTTTCATTGCTTTCATTCTTTTTATGTGCTTTATAAGTAAGCCATATTTTAAATAATAAAATGAGCAGTGGCAGTGTTTTTTATCTGCCGGATGCAGAATGCTAATGGCATTTGCTCAATAATTAAGTGTTAGCCGGTTGTTGTAGCTGTTTGACAGGTTGGTCATAGCACAAAATCATATTTGGTAAAATGACATTTAAAAGTGTGTTTAAATAAATATCATTAATTTTGAGAAAATTCCTTAAACAGGACTAAAACCTAGGCAAAGTGCACAAATAGGACTATCATTGTTTTCTTCCTAGAATAGGATTCGTTTACTCCTAAATGAAGAAGTTTTATGCTTTTAAATTTTTAATATGATCAAATAATTTCTATTTTGGGAATAAAACATTGTTAGTCCTATTTGTGCACTCAATCTATGTTTTAGTCCTATGTAGCAATATCTTTTAATTTTATAGCATAACAATGTATGATATTTACAATTTTACATTTATGAAAACTATGTACAGTTAAATAATAGTTTAATTTATTTTCAAATATTAATATTTATTAATGACTATAAATTATTTCCAATTAGAATAGTTGTTACTTAAAATTTATTTTTTAAATTGGTTTAGTTATTCATACTTATTTATTTTCATAATAATTAAAAAATCAATGAGCAGAAAAAGGCTGCTACCCATGGCTTAATCGAACCACCATATTTGCCTTTTTAAAGCTCAACAAGCTTATTCGCAAGGCCATTTACTAAACACCCATTAAGATTTTATGCTAGTCAACCAATCAAACCTACCCAAAAGTTGCTGATAAGCCACCAAACAAGGCCATTGGCTGAGATATGCTGCTTATTTTCTTGTCCTTTATTCATCATACTATCATAGAGGGGCTGGTGTGGATTCAAGTTGGTTGAGTTTGGACGGGGCGAGCTCCTCGACAAGCGTAAGATCGGGGGGATTTAGTAGAGTTCAAATGATGATGCGACATCTTGCAGCCGTGGGAGAGACATATGCCCAAACTGCCCTTGAAGATGCTGCATGGAGTCTTTTATCTATGCATCATTCCTCCCAGGCCAGTACATCCACTTCACCCACCCCACCCGTGAATCATGATAGTGATAGTGGTTTGCGCTTGAGAACCCCACATGGGGGCGTAAATGACAACAATTTATCACACTTAATGGCAATGGCTGAAACTGTTAGGGAAGTTTTGCCTCATATCCCGGATGAAATCATATTCCAGGTTTGTCTTTTTAATTTGTTCTTCTCATCCTTTAAATACGAGTTGGGAACTTAGTATGTACCCTGTGCGCAATAGACATTAGACAACTTGCTTGTGCTAGTAGACCCTAATGCTGTAAAAATGCTAGCATCAAACTGGGGCCGAATACCTAGTCTAGATCATTCGGAGGTAGGTGGGGTAAGTGGGAAAAAGGTCAAAAAACTTGCCTGTCTGAAAGACGTTTTATGGTCTATCCGTCTTTTAAGAAGAATTTTCATCTAACGCTAAGAGTCCTCTTGCTAAACTATCTAAAACAATTCTTTTTAAACTTGAACATAATATATTTGAAAATGGAGCTTGAAGTGCCATTTTCATAAATTTCTGGGTTATGGATTGCAGGATTTGCAGAGGACAAACTCACCGACTCTTACTGTGAATAATCTCCTACTAATGTGATCCGAATCGGTGATGCTCTTCCTTGATGACATATTTATTACATACGTGGATGAGTAAGGTAGGATGCAGCTGAGCTGCATGCCAGGTTCCACACCATCTGTTGTAATTTGTTGTATCTTGAGATAGATTATATAATACATAACTACATAAGCTTCATTTTTTGTATATAGATGGAAGCAGTTCTTCATTTGTTAACCAAACTTCCAGTTAACATTATTGGAGAAATAATTCCTTATAGTAAACAACAAACAAATACAAGCACGATCGTCTCTGTGCATGAGCCTGCTTCATTTTCGTTTTCTGTTTGTTTTTATATTGGATATACGATAGTATTAGATTTGATAATTTGATCTTAATAGTTGTACCTTTTCCTGCTTATGATTGCTTATAATTAAGAGGTAAACCTTTCACTTTATTGAAAATTATTCAACCTTTGTACTCTTCTAATATCGGTTAGGGTGGCTATGAGCCAGTTCCGATCCGGTTATGAACTTGCATGTTCCCTGTCCCAAATTCCCACGTACCCGGAACTGGAACTTGGGAAAATCCTGTTTTGGTCCCAAACCAATTCTGATTCAGCCCCATTGACCCATATTACCTAGGGAAAATGGAAACTAATAATCCAACCTTTTAGCGGTCTTCTTACAATAGTCCCACCTTTTCGTTATTCAAGAATAATTCAACCTTTGCACCCCATCTTCATTCGCTGATCCTTGACCGGTTAAGGACTTGCTATTCCAAGTTATTTTCTTATTTTTGCAAAATATTATCTTTGTGAAAGGTAAAATTTATGGTATAATGGTTTGCAAAGATAAGAAAATAACTTGGAATAGCATGTCATCAACCGTTCAGGAACCAATGAATGAAGATGAGATGCAAAAGTTGGATTATTCATGAATAACGAAAAAGAGGGACTATTGTAAGAAAACCGCTAAAAAGTTGGATTATTTATGAATAACGAAAAGGTGAGACTATTGTAAGAAGACCGCTAAAAGATTGGATTATTACTTTCCATTTTCCCTATTACCCATTCAAAAAAGTTAATGAAACTTTACTTGGTCTGGTCTCAATTTAGGCAGGTTAATACGGGTACCGGTTGCCTTTTAAAAGTTTAATGCACCACTCTATCATGTTATACGCATTATGCACCTTAGTCACTTGATTTAAAAAATGCTCGAAACTCCACTTATTATGATCAATCATGTGCAAAACCTTCCCCAAGAATGAATCTAGTAATGTGTACTCCCTCTGTCCCCTTTTAAATGGGACGGGAGATGGTGGCACGGGTTTTAAGAAAAGTGAGTTTGTGTGATTGATATTAATTGATAAAGTAAGAATAAAGTAAGAATGATTTTGAGTCACACAAAGTTTACCAAATAAGGTATGTGACAATTAAATAGGGACATCCCAATATGGTAAAATGAGACATTTAAAAGGGGACGGAGGGAGTAGTAATCTACTAATCTGTAAATGTCTTAATATTATGATTAAATTTGCAAGTAAATTTTAGAAGATCTGTACATTGCACAGAAATAGTAATCATTTTTATTTTATTTGTCAATTAAATTAGTTCTTGCAGGGCTTTTGTGCATGATTAATTATTACGCATAACATAGGGGTTTGACTCATTTTTTAAATCACTGAAATAATGCTTATGTTATTTCATAACATAAGCATTGTTTTAAAAAATGGCTTAGTCAGTCTGATTAATCTCTCTAATCTCTATAGGCTCTAGGTGGTCTCTAACTGTGGAGATTAGCCGATCAAGTCGGTCAAAAAATTGGCATAGTAACGCACTAACGCCTAGTTGGTGCGTTGGTCCTAGGCACCTTCAATCCCTCTAGTAAACTAGTTGGTGCCTAGTTGGTTTAGTGCATTAAACCTTTGCTTTTTGCATAACTCTAACGAAGTAACATGGTAAGCTTGGTTGTAACTCGTAACCATGTAACTAAGTATTGTGTCATTTGGTAGGCGGGGTATAGTATTAGAGGAAGGGGATGTGAATTTTGCTATCTGGCAAACTCCGAAAGAAGAGAAAAATACTGGAATAGTAAACTAAAAAGTTTACTAGCGTGTAGCTCATTTTTTGGCAAGAGTAGTCATTTTATAATACTACGTAGCTGATTTTCCCTCAAAGGAAGTAACAATTTTTTTTATATTCGGTGAATGCTAGATGAACAAAAAATCCTTGGTAAAGTGTTATTTATCTGTACAGTAATAGACCTAATAAATCTAGAATGCAATAACATTTTTTCTTCGAAAGCCACTTTCGGTAAACAATTATTACAAGTATCTAGAAGGCGTGTTATATCAGGCCCGCAAAAGAAAATGGTCAAGTTATTATTCCGTAGAACATTTTGTCAATTTTCAGTAACACAATTAGTATGACCTAACTATTGGTCTCATCATCATTTATTATAGAAGTGATTACCAATAAGACTAATAATGATAATGAGTTAATGACAACAAACTGAAATGACTTGCAACAAAATACGGGTTAATTTCCAACCTCCCTAGTAATAATGTTATTAATTAATTGGATTGATTTTTTTGGGTAGGTTTAGAGCTCGTTTGGTAACTTTGTTTTTCGGCTTATTAGTCAACATTTTCACCAAACAAGTAACTTTTAATTTCACGCACAGAATAGTGTAATAATAACAAAAAGTAAGGTTGAAGTTACTTTTCTGACTGTATTGACTGAAGTTACCGTAAATGACAATTTTAGCTATTTTTTATGTATATTTTTATTTAATTTATTAATAAAATATATTTTAAATATAATTTTTTTAATAAATTAACAGAATCAGTCAATCCGGCCACTTTAGCCAGAACTTCATAAATTTCAGCAGAATCAGTCGATTTAGCCATCAGTGTTAACAAACGGACTCTTAGTTTTGTCCGAACTACGACATAATCTAGTCTAATAAACGCCTGATCTCTGTGTATTGTCCGAACTATCGAAATCTGATTTGATCTGTATAAGTCTGATCTAATATGTGACGGAAAACCGGCCAAGTAATTTAAGTAAGCCCATAGAGGTGGCCCATCTAATATGAAATGCAATTGCGGCCCACAATTAAGATGAACGAATTAAACGCCCGCACGTTCCTCAACCGTCAATAACCGTCACGCCTTTATAGCGTCCTCCCGTTCGCATAATTCTCCAACATTTTGAAACGTGCGCGACGCCGTCAGAACCCAAAAATGGTGAAGCCTATGAGAAGTACCATCAGAAGACGGAAGAGGCTCTCCGGGAGCGGCGCTCGTTCCCGGCGCTGGTCTGAGCCCCGAACTTCCACTGACGACGGCGGCGGAACGGGTGATGATTCCTCTTCATTGTGTTCCTGCAGCGATTCGAGCCTGGATAGCGGCCAAGACGCCACCAACGTTGGGAAAGTGGACTTCAGAAAGTATGGGTTTACGGTTTTCGACGTCCCGGAAGAGCTGACAGGACGGCGGGCTTTCGAGGATGCGGCGGCGAGTGAACGGAAACTGGAAGGCGGCGGCGGCGGATGGGAGAGGGTGTTGGGTGGCGTTGGGAGTTACTGCGGGACGTTGATAAGCGGCGCGGCGTTTGGGGCGGTCTCTATGGGAATTTTCATGGTTAGATTTTTTGGTTGTTTTTACAATGTTGATGACCACCTGGGTTCTCTTACTCCCACATGAAAATATGTGTTTCACATTAATGGAGAAAACACGGTAAAAAGTTAAAGTCTAATTTATTTATTAGAGAATTTTAGATGTTATTTCAATCTTGAGAACGGTTTGACGATCAAAAAAAAATCTTGAGAACGGTTTCATTTGGTGTTTAATGTTCACTTCTATACACGAATTGTCTTTATACTTCGTATGTATAAAAACAAACCTCTCACTTTTGTAGATGAACTGTATGTGTGACAGTGTAAGATATACGGAGTACGTAGTAGAGAATATAATATGTATAAAATGTATACTATAGTAGTATAGTACTACGTAATGTACTTTTTATACGTAGTACATAGTTTAAAAAGTTTACTAAAAATGTGTACATTTGACTAAGGATGTTTTCCGTTGGATAGTTTTCAGTCCCAGATCAGACCAACAAATTTTGGTCCAAAAGAGAACATTTTAAGTACATTATGGTCTGATGACAACACTTGATCTTCCAAAGTGGAGGTCACAGGCCATAACATTATCCTGAACAAATTAAATACTTCGTATAAATTATAATAGCTTAGGTTTAGGAAGATTTCCCAAAAAAGTACATTTTGAAGTTTTCCCAAAGTGGGGGTCGCCGGCCCCTTTATTTTCATGCAAAATTATTGTTAGATATCATAGATTTTTTTTTACTTGACTTGGCTTTATTTAGTTTCCGACAGAATAATTAAATTAGTCCAAATCAAATTTAAACATATCAGATCAGACTTAAACGAATCAAATCGGATGTTAACATTTTTAACAGACTAAGAATTCAGTAAAAGTTCCGTATATTAATATATTATACTCTATATATAGTATACCTTCGATATATACGAAGTATTAACAAATATACATTACAATGTACAAAACTTTTGGAAGGTCACGGACGCGGCGGTGTGTCGTCTTCCTTCGATATTCCCGCCACCAAGCACTATGTCGCGGTGGTGTATCTTTCTTTGAATCATAGAAGTATAGAATAATATGGAGTAAATTTTTACGACAAAATAAGGTGGAAAAAGTTTCACATTAGTCTCAGCTGGTAAAAAGTTTTTACATATTTTTTACATATTAAAGTGTCTTTTTATATGGTATTCAAAATGCAATCAATTATCTATTAAGTCATCAATTTTAATTTAGCTGATGTAATGAATATTAATACCCCGTAGAACGAATTTGGCTTTATTTTAAAAGCAATTGTTTTACTATCTGCTTAAATTGCAAGGAAAATAAAAAAAAAAATTGGGCAAGCCAACTAGCCAAAGCCCCCAAGCCCTATGGGTATCTGGAGGCTCTGCCTTGCTTTAGAGCCAGAAACGATGCTCGGCTTTTCAGAACTCTTTGATCAAAAGTTGAACCGTTGTAGATTTTGAGATTCACATCTCGAGACGTCATGTTTTGATTTGACGGTCCCTCTGCTGCAAAGCACAATCCTTATAGTTACCTTTGTCCCCGGAGGCCATTAGGTGTAGGAATTTAGAACAAATAATAGGAATATTGAGTAGTATAAAAATGTAATTAAAAAGATTATACAAGGGAGGTTTTCACAAATATGAGCAAAACATACTCAAGTTCCAATAACAAGAGTGAGTGTTTGAAATTTTCTAAATATGACTTACTCCGTATTATTTATGACTGAATAATAATAGTCTTATAGGGTTATTCTTAAAAAAAAGTCTTATAGGGTGTGAGGTTTGGTCA